ACCAGCTGGATTTTATCCCCGCGCCCCTGCCCGAGAGCCTGCGCTCCCTGCACCTCCAGGTGAGATGAGGTGGGCACAGGCTTATCTGGCCCTGAGCTCACCTCCTCCTCGTCCCCATCCCTCTGGCTCTGACTCGCCCCTTTCCCAGAACAACAACATCCAGACCATGCACGAGGACACGTTCTGCGACAGCCACGACCACGGCCAGATCCGCAGGGCGCTGGAGGACATCCGCCTGGATGGGAACCCCATCAACCTCAGCCTCTTCCCCAACGCCTACTTCTGCCTGCCTCGCCTGCCCACGGGGCGTTTCCTCTGAGCCCCAGCACTGGGGAACACTCCCAGACCACCCTGTCCCCATCCCAGACCCCTCAGCCCCTGCTGCCCCCGGGAAACGCGGGGTGAAGGCAGATGTGTTTCACCCCAGTGTGAGCTGAGATCCTGATGGGGTGAGCTCAAGCCTGGGGCACGTGGATAATTAAATGCTAATAAATTGAAGACTTTTGAATGCATTCAGTGTCTTGTTCTTGACAGTAAGAGCAGTGGGAAGGCCTCATCCAGTTCCAGCCCAGCAGCTGCTTTGGGAATGGTGCTGGTTTCAAAGATGGGACTTCCCTGTATCCCATTTCTTCCTCCATTCCCTCCCAGGGCCTTGGGAAGATTGGTTTCAAAGATGGGACTTCCCTGTGTCTCATTTCTTCCTCCATTCCCTCCCAGGGCCTTGGGAAGACCCTTCTGTGTTGCTTTTGGGGTTTCCTGGAGAGCATGGGGAGCTGCATTGCTGCAGAGAAGTGATGCTTTGCCCACATCAGGTTCGATCTGTCCCCTCAGGCATCCCCAGGTCCATCTGTGCAGATCCAGAGGAATATTGCACATCCAGATATGAGCTGTGGCCACACCTGGAGTGTCCCTGTGTGTTCCCAAAGAGGATGCAACAGGAAATCCCAGCACAGGACAACTGGAATCTTCCATCACCTCATCCCAGACCCACTGGAGTCCCATGGCCCCAGGACACTGGGACTGGGAGCTGTTCTGGCACCAAGTGGGATCTCCAGTGTGATGTCTCTGGGTTTGGGCCTGCAGGGAAAGCCTGGAGCAGCACCAGAGCCTCAGGACCAGCAGGAAAACCACTTGGAACGAGTTAAAATATCTGGTATGATCCCAGTTTTCCCCACCCGAGGAGAGCTGCCCAGTGGTGAGATATTTTAAACCTAATGTATTCATCCTCTATATTTTTATACACATGTAGCAAACACTCACACCGTGCGAGGGATGACACATCCCTGGAGAATCCAAACTCTGAACTCAAACCACTGAGCTCAGCCCACATCCCCCAGCCCTTGGGGAGGCAAGAGAAGGAGGATGGAGAAAAACCTTGGAAGAGGATCCAACTTCTCCCCCATGGGCACTTCAAACACTGTTGGGCACTGGTGCCCGTGAGCTGGCACAGCAAGGAACATGTGTGTGGGCACTTCTTTCCCCTTGCCTTCCTCTTCCATGCAAAACCCAACTCAGCCATGGATGATGTTGATCCAAAAGCCTTGGTAAATGGGAATTTGGAGCTATTCCAGCCTGTCCTTTCAGGCTGGCTCTAAACCACCAGGATTTTTTACTCCTGTTGTCATGTCATCCTTGAAACAGGAATATCTGCCTGTCTTTCTGTCCCCACATCTCTGCTCCTTCCCCATCCATCCTTCCAACACCTTCCCACCACCCTTTACCCCAGTGATCTCACCTGTTTCCATGGGATGGAGCCTCAAGCCCAGCTCGGCTCCAGCAGGATGGAGTTAGCCAATTATTCCCCACACCGCGCCCTGGTCCTTCGCATTCGTCCCACTAGATGGCAAGGCAGAGTGTTTGGAAACGCCTGACCTCAACTTCGGACTGCAAACCGCCTCTCTGCTGCTTCCCTCCCTTCTGGGGCGGCTTTGGCTTCTCTCGGGAATGCCCAAGTGCTTGGGAGCAGCTCAGGTGGTTGGAGTTGGCAGAGGAAGGATTAAAGGAGCTGCAGGGGAGAGGGGTGAGGGAGGTGGGTGGGTGGGTGTCTCTGGGGGGATGAGGCTCCTGGATTTATAGGAACCAAACCTTTCCAAGAGCAATGAGGGGCTCTGGGAGGGCTTTGCTGTGAGAGAGTTGAGATTCAGGGGGTTG